TGTACTTTTGCAATGGGCAACCATACGGGCTGAGAGAAATTTCCATTAACTTGAATCGAAACGGGAAGGGCCGAATATAATTCACGGATAACTAGACTTTATACTAATGACATTAAGAGTTAAAATTCACTAATACGAATATCGCTCTTGCGTTGGAAAACATTAACCCCGCTTCACCCATGTAACACATATTCTATTAGCTGAGTATCTTACTACAATTAGCTTCTGGTTTTTTAGAGTGTTGCTACTGAATCTATTGCAACGCGTAAAAACAAAACGACGCATTGAATGAGTGGAAAACCCATTCGCTTTTGCGAAATTTTCGAGTCTTATTTAAAATTAAATCCTCGCATTGCAGTTTTCATTTGCTGCATCAAAACAGAAATGGCACAAAGTAACAAGCAACAAAGTAATTTTTAATAAACGTAATTTAAAAATGGCTCTCATTCATTTGACGCGTTGCGTTTAAATATTATGGTATAATAATATTAATAACGAGGCAATTGTTGTTAAACGCGAAATTTTGTTCAATATTAATAATATTTAAGAAAAATTGCATCAAATTTAAGTGTCATTTTATTCCATAGTCTCCCCAAAGTCTAAGAATTTATTGTAGGTAACTAGGTACACTTATGAACGTCACAAAACTATAGAATCTAACTGTAGATTTACTACGAGTTCTCAAATCACAAGAAGAACTGGCAAGATCTCCCCATCTCCATAAATTAGAGTAATGGATCAACAGACAACAAAAATAAAGGTAATTGAATTCGTCTAAATGAACGCGACAATTGGAGTACATGTGCGCCGGGGCGCGGGAGTCAAATTAGGACTTGTCTGCTTATCCCCAAGCAGTGGGTCAGATAATTATTTATTAAAATTGTTACCATAGCAGCTGCGACTGTTTCACATATTAGGTGCTGTGATATTCTCTCTACATTTGCCGTTTTCAAGGATTTATGAAGCTTGAATATTACTCTCGTTCGCGTAATTTTATTATTTACAAATCCATTCTGAAATTATTGCGTTGGTGTATCTGAATTATTTATGTCTTTAAATATACTTTTTGTTTACAGGCAAGTTAATAAGACTTCTGTGCTCTGCCCGACGGTAACTATTGTTTCCAAGGATTCGAACCCAGGTTCTCTCGCGTTAACGCAATGCTAGACAACACGTTGTCCAAGCTTTAAGCTAAGCTAAGAGACGGTATACTTTAAAAATGGAATAATTTTATTCAAAGAAATATTTTCACATCCCCTTTTTGTAACAATCGGTCCTATATTTGTTAAAAAATAAACGAAAGATATAGACAATAACTACAACAATAGTTGTACATTTTCCAAAATCCTATTTCCTTTTATCGATAAATAATATTTGTCGCAGATGAATCTTTTCCGCGTGATAAAACACAGCGATAACGCAGTGTGAAAAGACCGTCTTAAATTTAATCTCTTAGCGGAGCACATCACGTAAACTGAAAGAAAAGTAAAAGCCTTTAAATAAGAGAATGAAAAACGAGCGTACAACTCGTACAACTCACACGATAAGCGTTTTAATCTGTTAAAGTGTTCCCGGAGTTTTGGCTGGGTTACGTTGCGAAGAATCCTCTATTCACTAAAGCCTTCAGCTTAAACATTAATATAAAATAAATTTATTACGGAAAAACTCAGCGCGCGCTTACGAGTGCAGTATGCAGAAGGTGTAATATTAAATAATGCCCTTTTATCAGTGAAAAGACTTTTTAAAGCCTCAAAAAATGAAACACGATATTAAAAAGACTATATGCTAAATAAGAAACATACCGGCAAACCAGAGCATACTATGCGTCAGTTCTGCAAGGACTCAGATAGTTTCAACTAATACTAACTACGACGAAACAGATGGCGCTGGCGTAGCAGTTTACTTTGACTTTAGGGACACCCACGATCTTCTGTCCCGCCATGACCATGGCTGCTGCAACATGCGAAACTTTGGGCCGTAGTTAAAATAAATTGTAAATTAGTTGTAGGTTAATACAGTTCGCGTTATACTAAATTTACCCGAATTGATACTTTTATGGATTGGGTAGTTAAATAAAACATTTTTGCCGGTTTGATCACAAGTTAATTTATGTTTAACAATGACCTGCTCCTTCCTGTCAGCTGCGAAGGGACAAGCAACGTTTTATATTTCGCTTTTAAGTGCTTTATTTTACAGTTAAAAGTGTTTTTTTTAATCCATAACACTCGCGTTAACTACGTAATATTTCGCTTAGTATGTTAGAAATATAAAAAGTTTTGTAAAAATATTATGAAACCGGTTGCGGCGCTGCGCCTTTCGAAGTGACCGGAATTTTTGGGATCTAATTATCTTCTGCAGGAATTGGCAAGGGGCGCGTGTTATGAGGCCGTATATTGCATGCCAGGTAACACGTGGACGCGACGTATGCATCAGAAATTCAATTATAAAATTTGCCCTATCCTCGTGCTGTTTAAAATTAACTGAGTGCCAACAATTTGGCTACGTTACCTAGGTGCATTACATTAATTTCTAGCTGAAAGCTTGGCCATTAATTTGCGTCTAGCTCTAGGGAAAACCGCAAAATACTAGTTCCGTTGCCATTCATAATAAAACCGTAGCAAGCCGCTAAGTGCTTCAACATCTGGGTATAACCGAATTGTGTTGCAGTGACGAACAGCCGTGAAACAGCTTATTTGTTGCATTTTCCGAGCTGTAGTCCGCCGTGCTGTTTGGTATTTAGTATCGACAATAACGCTTACTAGTAACATATACTACAAGTGTATAATAACTATAAGATCGTTAGATTTAAAATAATAATTATTCAACTCTGAATAGGGTAACTACCTGAAAAAGCATAGAATTTATTTCTTGTATCTCTATAATGCAGGACGTGCTGTGCATGACGTGTACGTAGAAGTTTAAAAAAAATGGGGTACAATGTGGCTCAGAGAATCAAAGTCAACACATGGCTATCTGAAATAGTTGACACATTAGTTATATTGTAAAGTTAATTATAATCTACGTGTAGATACTACGAAAAGTCATAAGAGGTTACTTACATGCTAAAATTGAGCATCTACAACGGATTACAACGCTTTAGTCCTATACTAACTCCTTTAGATACGAAGGAAATTGATTATGGGTGTTTAGATAGTTTGACTTGACTATTATAAGTCTTATTGCTTATATCCACTTGTAAATTGAACTAGAATAATAAATATTTTTTAATGATAGAGGAGGACAGACACATTCACTTGATTGACGTTGCTGTGTCGACCTATATTGGATGCGGATATTCCGAAAAGTGTGGTTTGTGATCCGAACCCATCCACCCACTTAATATCCAAATATCCAGACGAAGTCCAATATGTATCAGAAAAATAATAAACTGATTAGATACATGTTAGACCCGGTGGGAACCGAACCCACGATCTGTTGATTGTAAGCCGTACATTGCTACCATTAAATTATTACTTATTGGACATCAAATTAAAAAAATAAACAACCGTTAAAGCTTTCCGGTAACAAATCAATCTTATAAAAGACTGCTCCAAAAATATTCCACAACTTAATTCAAAATTCAGGAAACAATCAGGATGTCCTTGTTATGCTAAGCGTGTATCTCATCTACCGAGAAATCGATTCTTTGATGAGATTTTCACGAGATCTCTACTTGTTAGTGCACTGACTTAATGAATTTGTGTGTTTATTCTAGCTGTTTGTCGAGACACTATATTACTAACTAAACGATGATATATTTAGAAAAAAACATAGCTATAATTTGTCTAAAAAAACACGACATTTAGTTTAACATAGTATAAATAAAATAATTAAAAAGTTAACGGTTAAAAATACTTAAATAGGTACTATTTAAAATTCGTTTAGGCTTTGGGAGCATTTTTAATTCTTTATTCCAATACTTACACAGAGCTTTTTAACTGCGTATCAATTTGATATTTTTTTATTAACATCCTTAAGAACGATAGATAACATTACAGAACGTTCACATAAAAAGTTTTCCGGAGAAAATAGTTCTTTTACAAAAAGGAAAATCCTTTTTCGGCTTGCTCTATTTTCACACAAATTAGTCTCCCGGTATAATGACTTAATTCGTCCAAAACCTGCACTACAGAGGTTATAATTTGTTTTATATTTTGTGTTCCCTCTGTCTCGGTTGGTAGATTAGTCCTCCACTGTAAAGCTCTTTACATTTCATTTCAAATTAAGTCCATGAAAAGCAATGGAAACGTTATTTTAAAATATATTCATTGCATACGCTTCTGGTAAAAGCGATTAATTACGCGGCACTGAATTGCGATTCTACAAAATATTTATATTTTAAATAGTTATCTGCGTGGGTTGAGACACAAAATTAAAATCACCTCTTGTTATTGATTTAAATTGTTCATAAATTATTATTCCAGTTACTTTTTCTAGTGAATCCTTTAGAATGAATGCTATGATTGGCAATTCGGTGTAAGTTATTGCGCGCTATAAACTAGGGTCAAACTTGGCTGGCGATCGATAGCCAGGTTTACTTATCCATGGGCGCATGGGGCCGGACACGTCGCGTGCTACCTTTAATACAAAAATATCGATTTTTCCACAAAGCCGCGTCACCGCAATCAATATGCCTTCCGCCCCGTGCCTAATTACGCCCACCTACATCAGTCAAACATCCGTTAAAAGCTCCATAATCACCCTACTGTTGAAATGCCGCTGAATGTCTACTCTGAAAAATAGCGCATACTGAATCATTCAAAGTGCACAGGAAAACGCTTCATTGTAAACGTTTTATTTAATTTTCCCTCCATTTACTTTTTATAATTTCTGCCGGGCATAAAAAACGATCCGCCGCCGCAGGAAGCGCACACACGTAAAGCCCGTGTACGGAAACACACATGAATAAAAACACCTGTCTCGAGAACGAAAGGTGTGCTCGAGCGTGTGCGAGAGCGATGGCTATATCTGCTGTTTGGTTGTTAGAAAAAGAGAAGTAGATGCGCGCGCAGAAACTTGGCACGCCCGCCGCGCGTCCCGCTCGCTCGTAAGCCCGCCTGAGAATATAATCTGCTCCTGTAGCACTTTTTGGGCTGGGTTAAGCCTAAACTTAACGCACTGTTACTAGATCGCACTTTTAGTTCAAACACCAAATTCAATTGATAACATGAATGAATAATTAAATGATTAAAATATATGATATTCAATGAAATCCTGTACTAGATATTTTTGTTATTACTTATTATATGCAAAAAGTTATATTTCTTTTATTCTTTATAAAATAATATTATGTTTAGATTCTTAAATTAGGCATGTCATTCAATAAGCTGGCCATAGCTAACTTAAAATAAAAAGCAACATCATTGTTTATTGTTGAAATAAAACAGCGCTTAAAATTATATTCAATCGCTTAAAGCAATCATACAAAACATTTTAAAGCGTATTTTCCCCTTGAGGAGTCGGAGCGTCGCTCGAGAACCGTCAGTCAGTCTATCGCGTGCAAAGGTAGTGGTCGTATGTGCCTCCCTTTGCTCCACCGCGGCCGACAGTGTCCGTAACTGGTATTCGGAAAATTGTGCTTGTGCGTTTTCCGATGAAAGCAGTGTGTGTGCTTGTGATATGTGCTATTGTTTTCTAGGTAACGGAGGTTGTTGAAAAAAGGCAGCTCGATGTTTTATTCGTTATTCGATAGGGAACTAAGTTTTTGTTTGTTTTACTTTGCGTGGAAAATAAAGTTTACTTTTCTGTTGCAAACGTTTCTATTGCTGATAACATTTGAAACACACGCTGGTATAGAGCCCATTCTTTCACTGCACTTACGAATTTACGATCCGTTAATTGTTCGCGCCGCGCTTAGATAAGCATAACAAACTGCGCTCTATATACTGTACTGTGCACTGTATCAAACACGTTTGAAATTACTTCATACGCGCAACTTAATTCTTATATGTATTTAATAATATACTTATTCAAAGCGTAACTGCTGACTCTACTAAAAATACAGGTGGGGGGGATTATGTGTTTTATTTAGTAACTTTATTGCAACATACTTTAATTAAATTTAAAACTTATATTTTGAAGAGCTTGCATAACAGTTTTTTTGCTAAATACGTATGGTACATAACATAACGTACCTTAAACATAAAGTGCTTCTTACAATGTTTCTCTTTAAGTCAACTTGAACTATCTCGTTCGTAACTTCGTAGTATATCGGTTACACATAATATTGTGAAAGCCGGTAATTGTATTACATTCCCTCAATACCAGAACAGCTAATAAGCATTGCATGTTCGCTAATGAAATACTTATTAACATTTGAAAGTCTTGGAGACGCTCTGATAAAAGTTGTATTAATTTTTCCACTGACTATTATTAATTTCCAAGTCTAATTGTATAGTGTCTGTAATTTACACGAGTAGTTCACATTTAAAGAAAAAACTTTAACGTTTTCAAATAAGTTTAACTAATATAGGTATATCGCGTTTTAAACCATTAAAGTGTTTTATTTAAAAGTCTAATGTGTTTGCTGTGAACTCATTACTCTTGTACACATGTTTTAAAAAAGAAAATAATCGACTATTTAATTATAAAATAGCTACCAGGGGCTCATGAATTATCGAAACTCTACATTGGAGGAGCAGATGTAGAGTAATTGAAGTTAATTGACAGAAGTGACCTTAAGAATGCCGGTGTGATTATTAAATTTAACTGCTCATGTTAAAAGGTTAATCGAATTAGATTCATTAGACATTAGACGAGGGTGTTATGAGGAGAATGGAATAGATTTTTGTAATTTATCTTATCATTGAATCATCACTCTTTTAAATGAGTACAAAAAACAGTGATACAATTTTTTATCTATGGTTAATATTATTCTGCAATTTAGAGCCACAGACGATATATCGTATAGAAAACAAACGATACCTACGTCTCGCGGCATGCACTGCGAATAAGACTGCAATTGAAAACAACAATGCTATTGTTCTTTTCAATCAAGAGAGTACTTTAATCTTTATATTCATTTCATTGTTTTTAATACGCTATGGACGAAAGGATATTAAAATTACAAGCTATTTGTGTAGCCGGCAACACTTTGAAGACATCTTCAATGCGAAAAATATAAGTAAATTGACAGAGGCACTTGATAAAGTTTATTTATAAAATTTGTAGAACTTTCGCGGCCATTTTGAAACGCATCTTAAGAAATTGTTCTCAATTACGACGGAAGAATAGCTCGAGAACCCGCTCGAAACTCAACTCACCTATTTGTTTAAACATCTGTGTAAACTAGATGTGCCTGGTTGCTCCGTCTCGTCAGATCATATTCTAAGCCTAAGCCTTTTAGATTTTAAGTTCCATACATGTAACAGACTATGACGTCACGAATGTTATAATTTATAATATCAATATGATTGAATTTTTTTCTAACCAGATTCGAACAAGAGCAGTTTTTCAAATAAGTTCAAAATCTAAATAGCCTTTTAATTTTACGACTCGGGCGGAAATCGAACCGGTGTCCGCAGCTGTAAGTTACTGTACTCTGTTTGTGTTTGCTTACAGCGGACTATGAAATTAAATATTTCAAATACAGATTATGTCCAACACTAATACGATTCTAAATCTCGCCACGACATCCATAGCATTATAGTAAATCAACTTTTTTGTATCGTCTCGCCGCGTTCTTTCAGTATGTCTATTATTACAGTTTTTGTTGTCAATCCGTTCTCGTATTCTTCGTTGGTGTAATTACCGAGGCGAGTCCGTTCCGAATAGTCACTCTTACCGAGGCCCACAATAGCGGGCCTCGGTACGCTCTCATTGCGTCATAAGAGATTCACGAGAGGCACTAATAGCTGCTTGTTACATTAATTGTACGTCGTATCTCAATTTAAGTAATCTAAGAGATTTAAATAAAACATTATAACGGTTTAAAACGCGATTTATATTAGTTAAACTAATTTAAATTTTTAAAATAATTATATTGTTTTAACTACGGCCCGACGTCTCTGATGCTTTGCAGCAGCCATGGTCACGGGGAATAAGTGTTTTATTTAAGGTGTGTACTACTCGCTTACACTACAGACAGTATTTAAATTTTTAGACGTGTTTAAAAGTTCACCATCCAACTGGTTTCAATAATTTACATTTACAATAATTACTTACATAATAAGCAATGTATGTAGTTTACGCAAGTAGCACACATTTAAATAAAACACTTTTGACAGATAAAAACGCGAAATATATTAACTTAACCCTTCCCAGTTAGGTTTTCACTGATAAGATGTAATTATTGAACAAGAATACTACCGAGCCTAACTGCAAACATATTGTTTTTTACTAAACTGTTTTCTGTTAGGTTAATTTGTCTAGTACGAATTGTATTTACGGAACATCAAATTACTATTCATACAAAAAAGCGATTTGTCTCTAAAATATAGCGCAACGTGTCACGTTGTTTGCACATTCAAAGATATGGATTGGATAGGATTTCAGTTGACTATCAAACCGTTTTGGTTTATTTTGTAAAAGGTTCCGATTGAATGTGCTATAAAAACAGCTCTGTCACGCTTTCTTTGAAGCGACAGTTTTACAACGTTACAATGCTTTAAAAACTTATCAGTTTGACAGTCACGTAAGAATCGGTTTTTGAACTTCTTTTTGAGAAAATGAGCTACACGTAGCTGTTGATAGGTGGAAAATAACTTAACCTCTGAAACTGAGTAAAAGTTGAGAATAAATGAATACAGTTACAATTCCAAAGATTTTTTAATTCTTTACTAAAAAACTCCATTTTAATTTATTTTCTTAGTTAAAATAATGGTAATTTTCATATAATCAATTTTCCTCTACGTGTCTTCCAATCCCCGCCAGGTTCTTTAATCAAAATTTTTTACAGCTAAGACATTTGTATTTGAATAATAATGCTTCTGTAATTCATCCATGTTAACATGGTAGATGGAGTTAAATGATAAATGCGATGTTATCAGATCTTTTCGGTACGTAAAAGTGTAAAAACTAGAACATTGGTTCCTCGACGATGACTGCGATTTCCGTTGAATCTAAATATTTGCGGCAATAAAAATCTATTAAAGCTATTAATAAAATGGAGCACGACTTGTTTGTCTCGCCTAACATGAAACGTGGTTATTTAAAAATTAACAGATACACAAATTACTTCCTATATAACTCCATCTTCACTTTTCCGACAATATTCATCACAAGAATACAAAAATAAAACAACAGTTACTGATCTTATTTTTAAAACACTTCATCGATACGTTTCGCGTTTTAAACCGTTAAAAGTGTATTTCAATGTGTACTACTCACATAAATTACAGACTACAACAAAGTTTATTTTGATTTACATGCTTTTAACAATGATGTATTAATGACCACTAATACATATCTTTATTTTTTGCAAACTAAAAAAAAAACTGTAGTTTTTTTTATTTATTTAATGACCTGCTATGTAGAACCTTTAGTTCAAAACGCAGTGGTTCATTGAACACGGAATATCTCTGTGGACGCCACAGACTAACATAAAGGGAAACAATATGGCGGCGTAAACAACAGCTGATGTCACTTGTCTTGAAAACTCGGCTCCACAAACAGGTGGTCGTGGGTGTTCTCATCCCGAGTGGGTAAATAGGTGCAATTTAGGACGCAAGGCCCGTCATTTGGCCTGATTCAACACTTCATTGTGGCAATTAGAATCAATTTGCGCGGCTCTATGCGCGCGGACCTAGAACAGAAGTCCATTTCATTCGTAATTAGGAATACAATGACGAAACGGTTAGAAAGTGTTAAGTGCTGTTTCACAATTAGTGAACAAAGAAACTCTCCTTTTAAGTTCTCTCTTGCTTCCTAGTTAAAAAATTGGAACTTGATAGATAAAAGTCTAAGCAGGAAAAACTATTTATAGCATCTAATAACAATATTATTACACTGAATGTATTATTTTCAAGCTTTAAGACTGTTTTAATATCTATAAAGTTAGTATTTCAAGTATGATAAGTAAATTATACATTTTCCAACCAATTTATAATTTTTCTGAAACATGTTGGACTTCGTTACGGGTCACGAACCAACGTCCACAGATGAGGAAGCCGTGAAGTTTAATCGCGTTTTGGCTTCTCCGCGGTCTATTAACTTCCGAATATCCAAAGCCAAAATAGGCTTATAAAATAACTTGATGCGCTTTCGCATCAAGTTTAGATACTACAGACGGTCTTATATTCTAGAAACAGAGATAATTTAATGGGTGCTTTTGTATCTACTGAAGTATTGAATCGTCCAGTTACCATATTTAGCTAACATTCAGTGCGAGAACTTCAATAACGTGGTATAGCTATTTTACAATCATGCTGCCGATACAATCGAGTTTATTTCAGTCGAATTTCATTACGTAGATGGTTCTATTGGTTGTCAGCAGGCTTTGTTAATTAAACGGCTTTGTTTGTTAGCCACATTTATGGAATAACAGTTCAGACTGTGCCCTGTATTGCAGTATTGCATGTTTTTGGAATATCGCCTTACGGCTGCATATCGAAATTATGCCAAAATTACGAATTTTACTCTACAGCTTTGATACAAGATTGCTTTTAGATCGTCTAGTAACTGCTTTAATTAACTGTTTAAAACCAAAGTAATAATCTCTCGCAAGACTTTTTGTATCGGTTAAATTTAGGAAATCCATTAAAATTTTGTAATTCAGTTCTGTATTGAAACTTTCAGGCATATTAAGTGCTCGAGGAACCCCTTTGCCTATCTATCTTCAGAATAACCCGTAGAACTATTTCTTTGTACCGAACCGCATAGTTTTCGAATTAAACTTGTTGGTTTAGGATGCGGTCCTCATACTTTGAGTTTGTTTCATAGGAGAGGTAGTCTACGTTTCTATTCAACTAGTTTATTAAAGTACCGTCCTTGTATGAATCAAGCAAATGTCATTTTATATACTTAGTTTGCTCTCACACACCAGTGTTCTCTTATAAGCATTTTATTTTATTTACTTATTAGTCCTATTGGGCAAAAATTGAATTATTGTCTTTTTCATTTGAAAACGAAAGAATCTCTTGCAAAATATTAATTGGTTTTTAATATCAATCGGCACGCTGCGTACAATGATGTTCTATATTATGGAATTATAAGAAAATATATTATTAAGTTTAATCAAGATTATTGCAGCCCAGACTCAAAAAGGCACTTTGTGCCTGTTAAATATTGGTTTATATTATCAAAAAGAGTGTAACTACGCCGTGGTCTTCGATATTATTAAACTTAATTTCATTTTACTCATACCTATAAACCACTAAATAACTAAACTCATTTCCTACTAGCAAAGTACACATAGCTTACAAGAAATACGCTAAGAATTCCAACTTGTATGAAAACTGGTGGGAATCAACATCTTTCGTTCTTTTACTGATATTTGAATTGAATTAATGCCACTTGATGGATAAATCAAATATTATTTATTTTCTGGTTTAAATCGATGTTATGAACTACATCATTCTTAAGTAAATTCTACAATTACCTATTAAGTAGGTACCAACACACAGGCTTCTTATGACTAAGACAAACACCATGTCAATACAAGGTACTAAGCATCAAATTAGGTTCAATCATGTCTAATTTGTTAAAAAGTGCATATGAAAAAGTAAAGTCTATTTCAATATATCTAACATTATCAATAAGCATCTAAGTTGTTCTGCGGCTTGCGGACGAGCAGCTATATATTGTGTTAATCTCAGCTCACATGTACTAGTTTCGAATCCCGGTAAAAAACAAAAAATTAAAGTCGAGCATGACATAGTTTTTTTTTTCTGTTAATTAAATCTAGCAGTAAAAAATAAGAACGGTTTAATGTATCGACGTAAATGCATTTTTATGAAGTAACTCTTGATATTTTTTTTTATTATAGGTACTTGATTATAACTTAAACAAATTAATTTATTGGCAAAGTACCTACTAGGTTATTGACTGTTTTGTCGTTGAAATTTCAAAAGCATTAGTAACAAAGGTCCGTGAAAGGAGTGTTGTAAAAGAAATTGATGATATATTGGAAGAGTTATAAGACTCAATAAATCAAAGCGCCGTCGATGCCTCGATCCCGGGGACTTATAATAGATGAAACGCAGCCTCCGTACTTCCGCAGCCTGCAGCTTATTTACAAATCACCGCGGTTTGAACGCAAAGAGACTTAAAATGCTTTGAAAATAAAATGCTCTTTAGAGAAATATTATATCTAGACGTCCCGATAACTTCTAGATTGTCAACTTCTTATTATATCAAATTTGAGTGTAGTTGTCTAATATTTTTCAAAAAAATATTATTTATTATAGTAAGTAGTGGTTTAAATGTTTAATAGTGTCTGATAAATTTTGTCTTGTACATAGAATTCTAGACTTCGTCAACTTCATAACTGGTATCGTATTTCACACAGCAATAACTAAGTAATTATATTCTTATCAACAGATATACAATAGAAGTAGCTGAGTGACGTCAGCGTTCGTTTATTGATGCTATTAAAGTGATAGGGAAACGTGTTTGTAATTAATTGTTGTATCGTTAGCGCGTTTATAGACGTTAAGACTGAATAAATATACTTACGACTAGGCATTATAATATACTAGCCGAACACCCCAATAATCTTGTTTATATGTATAATCAAATACTCCTTGACTTCCCCGATTTTGAGTGAATAATAACGTTTCAACAATAACAAACCATGAAAATTATATGTCCCCGCGGGATTTAATCCAAAGAATCCCAATAAAGGGACTAATTATACGAATAAAAAGCATTTAATATAACGATTCGTATCTTTGACGGTGATGGACTTGCTCGTGTAATGTAAGCAATGTATTGCTAATAAACAATAATAGTGGGTTCGATCCCCGCCGGTTCCAACATTTTCTTAACAATTTATAACTTGTCTGAAACATGTCGGGCTTCCTCTGGAAATCTCGATATTAAATTGGTGGTAGGAATATCGAAATTCCGTCCGGTCACGAACCACGTGATGAAAAGTTTAATTGCGTTTCGTTTTGAGTTGTTTGGATTTCCGAATATCCAAAATCAAAATTGGTCCACAGCCAATATTGTTTAGATGTTGATATTTCGAAAACGAACTACATACCAACCTAACTATCGACTCATGCGTCCATTTTTAAATGAGTTTCATTATGCCTAATAGACTATAGCTTTTTATTCATGACTCTTAGTCATGCGAAGGAGCAAAAACTCTGGCCTTGAATCTCCTACCTTATATAATGTACACGTGACACGTGATTGATATAAATTAAGATCGAATGCCTTACATACAAAACAGGTGTTATAGAACTTGAAGTAATTGTATGATAGTTGGTTTCAATTGTTATTTGAGTTAACTTATAAAAAAAGTAACAAGACAATTGTTTCGTGATTTTAAAACGCGCACAAGACTTTACAAGGTCTTGGTTCGATTTCTGATAAATTATTTTACTTGGTGCTTAAATTGTTTCGTTTTACCAAAGCCCCCAAAAGTTTGTTTATGTTGAGGCTGCTAGAGGCAGATTGTCCTAATAACAAAAAACATAATTTTCAATAAGTAGAAATAAAAACGCGGAATTAACTTAGGCGAGAATGAGTTTGTACTATTATTTGTAAAAGAATTATGTTAACAATTTTCAGTCACTGTACTCGTTGATTAACATTTTTAGCCTATAAAAATATAATAAGTCAAGCCATAAAATTGCAGTTAGGCTACTCTGCCTCTAGCGGCCTCAATTATTACCTGTAGTTCGAGTGCATGCCCCTTTGTCCCTCATACGGGACTTGCAACGCATTTAACCTAGAATAATTACCAAGTAGCAGTAGTTAATCTAGTGATGTCACCACTCTGCTCTTTAATTTAGATAATTTTAGGTGTTTATTGCGATGACTAACACAGTAAATGGCGGTTCTACACCCACATGCGTGCATTCGACTCCGTTTGTCAATATAAAAATAGCGTAAACTATATAAACTTTTAGAATTGGTTCGTTCGTTCATTAATGATTCAACAAAAGTACGTACTCAACAAAATAGGCATTAGGTTAAGTAATCTCTTGAAAATCGGGTGAACTAAATTACTAATAAAACACTTTTAGTAAAACAATTTAAGTAAATTCATTCTTCACGTCGAGCTGCTGTTTTTACCAAACAAAATTGTTATTCTTAAAATATAATCATTGTTCTTGTTTCAGGATTGCTTTGCAAGTGGAATATCAGAACGGATGAGATCAAAAGTGCTGAAAATCTAAAATAAACCACAAACAGTCGCCCGTAGGCGCGTCGTAGAATCGATAAATCACTCGAACTCTTAGGTCTGCGCGTGCGCCGAAGTCGCGCGGGTGTCGTGAGCGCGTGTGGATCGCGTGTTCAGCGTTAGCCCCTGTAACTGCCACGGTCAGTGCTCGCCGGAGTCCCGCGACTCGGCCGGCACGCCCAGCCACAGCCGTGGATAACCTCGGCCAGAGCCCCCTCCCGGTGAAGAGGCTGCACGAAGCGCTTCAGTCTGCGCAAGTGAAGCGTCAGCGTCTCTCTCCCCCATATCCCTCCGCGCCCCCCGCGATTCACCCCATTCACCAGCTCGCCGTGCACCAGCACATCAAGGTGCAGCAGAGTATAGTGCAACAGAGCATCGTGCAACAGCATCAGTTGAATCTGGCGCATCAGTCACTGCAGAACTTGCAAGCGCAGAGCATTCAGGCGGCGCAGAGTCTGCAAGCGGCGCAGGGGTTGCAAGCGGCGCAAAGTCCCGTCGGGTCGGGTGGCACGCAGCAGTCGGCAGCGACACAGGGCGCACTGGTGCCTCCACAGCAGCCTTCGCCGCGGGCCGCATCGCCGCAGCACAAGACCATGGAGCTCGCTTTGTGCCAAAGCATGGACTCCGTCAATACCGCCACCACAGAGGAAGAGGTAAGTGTCAAGAATTCAATATCTTCATTAGGTACATACGTTACCTAATTATAGAAATGCGATCTGTTATATTCTACTTCAAACGTTAAGCGTGGGGCATCACTGAAAATCGGTGTTATGACTATTTCGAGATACAACAAAGGCTAAGCGGTGTCCCTCCATATTATTAATTTTATTGTATTTTTTGTATGTGGAATAAATGATTTGATTTATATATTTCAAACCGTTCAAAACCGTTAATTTGTTTTATTGAAATGTATTACTCGCGTAAACTACACGCATTACTTTCAGCTATTTGTAAATATATTTAAGCCGAAGATCGGACGTACGTGCGTTAAAAGGAAATTCTGAAATTTGTACTATTTGTTTATTGACTGATGGGTTTCTATTTCACGCAACTGAATGGTTGCTACGAAACGACAATAGTAATGGCTCCGGGGCTCCGTCGGAGAGGACTTAATGTATCGCTTAAGCAATTTGTCATCGAACAATTGCTAAGTAATAGCGTAGAGGCGCGGCGCCGTGGTACCTAGCGCGTTTCAATGGGAAAACGTTCAGATATACAATAAGCATTGACTAACACAATAAAAGGAAATCGCGAATTGCTACTGGAAAGCGCAACGCTATTCACAGTTACAGCTATTATAAAATATTAGCACAATACTATTATAGGTGACGTTTTACAATCCAACGCGTGCATTTAAATGAACCACTTTTACCGGTTTAAAACGCGAAATATATTAGTTACCTTATTTTTAATTAATTTAAACTAAACACTGTCTGTAGTCTGCGCGAGTAGTACACATTTAAATAAAACTAACGGCTTAAACGCGATAAATTTTAGTTAAACTTGTTTGACAATTATTTTTTACTTTGGCCCGATGTTTCGGGTGATTTGTTTTGTCCCCCCGTGGCTGTTTTAACTCTATACTCCTCGCATAAACTACAGATATTACTCTAATTTAGATATACATTGACATCTTGATTGAAGTGTGCAAATTTCAAAGGAGGATTGGAAAAATCAATAACCCAGACGGTATTTAACCCCACGATAAACAGCGTACAAGCCGTCGCTCTACTAATTGAGAGTCAAACTAACGTGTCGTGGGTTAGGTCAAAATTGAGTTTAGCCAATTCCAATAAAACGTTAAAAAGAAAACAACTATGTCATGTTGGAGTTACCTTCACTTGTTTCCGTGATGATTTAAGCAGCCCACTAGCTGTGGTGTGCTATAAATACCGTAAGTTGCCTAGAGCGTCGCGCATTACGTTACGTATGCTTTTATAGAAATGTTTTTATCACACGTTAACTTAGCGTTGTAGTAAGACTACTCTTGTTAGTTAAAAATTGAATCTTTTTTACCAAATACTCTTGAGGACTCGATAACTCTTCTTTTCGGGGTTATATTTATTTATGCTTTTAGATTATATTATTTGTATAGAAATCCTTAGAGCGAATAGTATTTTTTAATTAGACAACCAATAACAATAGAATACACATTAATTTAGACACTTTAAATTAAATACGCTCTTAGATATAGTCTTGGGTACATGAAACAGTAATTGAGAATTTATAGTAAATATAATAATCTAATAGCATCTTGACGCATAACGTCACGTCATGCGCTAGGAGACCACAGCCTAACACGTCTGAAGTAACGCTGCTTCTCTTTGATGTGAATTCATGCACTAAGCGAGGGGCGATGTTATGGGCCCTTAGCTAACATAGCGTGGATGCAATCATTCAAGCGACTATATTGCTGTGTATAACAAGTTGATCCACACGGGACTTATCCTTTATTCATATTAGGTTATATTAGCCTTGCACGTTTCCATCTCTTAGCGCGTGCAAAGTTTGTGCATGTCACAGTAGCAAATTTAATGAATACTTGAGTTTATGACTTACTGAATTTCTAATATGATAATTTCACTAGAATGCCATCCGATTTTGTCGACTAGTTGCAGATATCTCCTCTATTATTTGCTCAAGAGCACCATCTTTATAAGTTAGAAATAAATCCATTTATTCGTGAACTAGGCACACGTATGCACCTCAATGCAGTAAAAAAACGTACATTTACTACCAGATCTCAATTCAACAGCATACAAGAAGCGAGAAGAACTGGCAACTAACTCGCCGCTACTTTCGATCGCTATACGTTTTATTTTATAAATCTTCTCGTACTTTACAAAAATTCTGTAAGACGTAGCTGAATAATAAGATACGGTAAAAAGGGACACACCTTACACGCTATAAGTTTTTGTCTCTTTATTTCTCCTTAATTATAATATAAAACAATGTATATATTTAAATAAAACACCTTTATCGGCTTTAAATACGAAATATCAAAGTCAACTTATTTACAATTTATTTTGACCTAGACCCGACTGTTCGGGTGCTTGCAACAGTCGTGGTCACGGAGGGAAAATGGAATAAGTTAAGTATTTTGCGTTTCAAACTAGCAAATCTAGGCTACAGACAAGACTTAAAAGCTATATTTGTATAGCGCTTATTATACACATCTATTTATATTATTATTTATAAAAATACATTTCGCTTAACCCTAAAACAATAAGCATGCATTTGTAATTATGTTTGTTAATTTAGTGTAGGTTTATCATCAAATAATTCATCGTCAAGCTTATCATTGTCAAAAGTTATTCGTGTGTGAACAATAGTGGGAGCCAAAAGCCCGCTTCAAGCCGCCACGAACATAAATTATACATATTTAAAGTCTAGACTAAACATATGCGACTAGAGTTTGAATAACAAAGTATCTACCACATTATTAATATCTGTCACAGTTAGTTTAATGTTACTCAAAAGTTAATAGTACTAAAGACACACGCAGTAGCTCAGAATACAACGTTTTCTACTTGCTTGGATTATTGATAGTTATCATCTCTTCGTTCCTTCTGCAGGAACTAAGCCTCCAGTTGGAGTTTAGGCCTTAATCACCAGATTAAGGCCTAAACTCCAACCAGTCCAAAAAGTTGTCTTTCACCACACCAGCTACCAAGCTGGTGTGGTCAAAGACAAGTAGGTGGATGCCATAATTTCTGTGTGGCGGCGTGGTGGATACTCTTCAATGCCTCCTTTTTTTTTTTAACGTTTTTATTACGGAATTTATTTATTTGGGTCAAAACTATAAATTAACATTAACATCTTCCCGTTGTTAGATTGATCTGAATTTTGGTAAACACTTTTAATTTAGATGACTATACAATATAATAAAATCAATAACATTATGAATCTAAGATGGCCCCCGATACAAAATGGCGGATTACATATTTTTCTTAATCCCCTCAATATGAAAAATGAAAGGGTTATAGTAGTAAAACACGATGATTTTGTAGTTTTTAGCACAAAAAATAAAACCGTTTAACATAATTAATAATTAATAACATAATGTTTAGCTTCAATGTCTCATGTTTTTATAACAGTAAATATGTAAAAAATGTATTGTATCTTTATTTACAGTCGAAAGCAGATAGCTCTATGCCAGCATTTTGACCAGGTATAAAATTGACCATTAGGTTCATATTTTATGTTTATGGCAATTATAAGTTGCGTAACCATTAATAATTCAAAATAATTGAAATACTTAGGTGGACAATTTTATTTCGTGTCAGTTGGAAGTTTGAAAGCTCAATTGGTTTTCGATTTGGACAAATTGGCTAGGTTAATTGAAAAGTACGTAAACTAAATTAAATTTTAGTTTGCCAAGCAAAAATACGAAGCGATATTTGGGAATGAGATTTATGCCGACGATCCTCGTTAATTTTTAATTAAATTATCAATTTCGTATAATACTTATTGTTTCTGTTACGTAATGCGTGCAATTCAAGTTAGTCCTTGTATTAATTTATTCGTTCAACGAACTGTTTATTTTTATGATACTAAAATTTAATAGTTTTCTTGTAGGTACAAAAATACCATTTACTTACTTATTTTAAAGTAGGATAGGTATATGCTCTGCATATATTTTAAATTATTGAATTTCTTATTAGATGAAAAAGCTATGTATCATTATTTAATAAATACATAGAAAATATTCACTCTGTCTAGGCTCATGCTAGTAAGTAATTCATAATCAATTTTTAACATTAAATTAAAGTGGCAGATAGAGGTTTCACCTTACTTAAATAAAACCACGTTTGACGGTTCAAAATGCGAAATGTATTAGATAAACTTATCGACACTCTTATCATTTACATCTTCAGCCCCCAGTGACGTTACGGCTGCTGCAAAGCATCCGAAAAGTCGAACTGTAGTTATGAAGTGCTTGCATGAGCCTCAACTACAGACAGTATTCACCGTAGTCCGTAGTTAAGTTTATCGGGAGCAGGGACCAGCCGACCGACTGTCGCGACTGGAGTTGATGGCGCCTTCAAGTCTGACGCCGACCATGACTGTCTGTTTCACTTACACACTGAATTCCTTATAGCTTTTTAGGGTTCCGTATTAAAGGGACGTCCCTAACTATAAAGCTGATCCATGTAGTTAAAACTTTGCTAACATGATGCCGCTATAGTAAATAAAGGAATTAAATTAAAACAATATATTTAAGCGAGTAGTACACATAAAAAAAACACTAACGGTTTGAAACGCGATATACATTAGTTAAAGTTATTTGAAAATTCTAAAATTTTCTAATTTTTCTGAAACATGTTGGACTGGAAACCTGTACTTTAAGGGGTGGTTGGAATAACGGAATTCCGTCCAGGTCACGAACCTCCAACAGGTGAAAGTTTAATCGCGTTTCGGATTCAGTCTGTGGATTTCCAGAGGCAAAATAGGTAGTCAACACATTTTGTTTAGATGTTATATGGTTGAGGTATTTTACCTTCCGCCAAGTGAAGCCCGTGCTTGTCTGTCCTCCTATATCAAAAAAATATAGAACCTGGAACTGTTCCTTCGCGGTTCCGACTCGCACTTGGTTCGTTTTTTTTATATTTCCAGCTCTTTGTATGAGAGCTATTTCAGCGCTGTTTGTACGAGTGAATAGTTTCCTCAGCTGAAAAGCCTTCGCCGACCAGCTTTATAT